AATCAAAACCTGTGAGGGAGTCAATAAGATTTACTTCTGCATTTAAAAAAAAAAAAAACAAGGTTGAAAGATTTTTGACATTTTACAACTTAACTGTACCTTGTCATAAAAAGTTAAAATTACATCATATCTACAAAGGTTATATAATATATTCTATTACATTATTTACTGTTTTCTTTTTTGGTTGTTTCTGCATGTTGGTTAGATCACATAACTTTGTTGGTGCACCAAATGACTTTGATTTATGCAGTTTTGTTAATACACTACTGTTCAAAAGTTTGGGGTTAAGTTTTTTTAATATATTGTGGAAAAGTCTCTTATGTTCACCAAGGATGCATTTATTTGATTTGCAATTTAAAATAACAGTTCTCTTTTTCATTATTTTAAAATGTAAATGTTTTTTTTTTCAGGTTTTTTTTTTTTTTTTGGTTGAACAGTTAAAAAGAACAGTATTTTTTTGAATATCAAAAATTGAATCAATTTAATGCATCCTTGCTGAATAAAAGTGTTAATTTCTTAAAAAAAAAAAAACACTACTAAGTTAACCCCAAAAAACAAACTTAAATGTTTATTTAAAAAAAAGACTGTGCCAAGTAAGTAAATAAAGCAACATAACTAGGCAATTTCCAAACCAAAAAAACAAGCTAAATCTCACTAAATAGTCTTAATAAAACCATTTTTTGTTGAGTTTGAAAGCACGGTTCATGAGGAAGTCAATTCAAACTTCAAACTGTGTAATGACAGGTCAGTTCAAATTAAAAAATCATCTCCCTCTGCACCACAATAAAACTTTGACACAGGCAGGAATGGGCACAATGCGTCTAGAATTGCAGCTGAGTCAAGATTTGTTTGGTTTGTTTTGGTGCTTCAACACTCGGGTCTCAGATTGGCTGAATAAGACTATGGATTTCCAGTGTAGCCCATCGGGCCTGCTCTTCCCCCATCCTACAAATGAACAAGCATTCAGCAGCAATAATCCATTATAGCACAGAACACAGCAAATGAGAGCGAGACAGCGGGGTCTCCTCTAAGAGAAGCGGGCTTATTTGGATAATCCTCTTTTGTCATGGCCTATGTGAGGCAGCGCATGGCTCCCAGACAGTGTCCAGCTCTGGGGTCCAAGGGGGGCCTAATACAGACTGAACAAACAAACGCACAGAACTGATGACACCAGCCTTTCATTTGAAGAGAAAAGGGGGAAGAGTGACGGCATCACTAGTCAGTTTCGCTGGCCATCAGCTTTGTTTGGTCATCAGTGAGCATAGAGGAGGCATGTGATTGGATGAAGAAACTGAGTGAATCACACAGACATAGGGACAGTGACATGTACCAAATGGCATCTGTGTCAAGAGCTCCCTTTCTCCTTCATTCTTGTTCCTTTCGTTATTAGGCTGAAAACTGTTGTCTCCAGACAGTATGTCAGTTGGGAGAAGCAAGTGTTCTTATAATTCAGTGCGTGTCTGGGTGAATTACACTAACAGGTGTTTTTCTAAAGAACTCCTCATTTATGCGATTAATTAGGGTCTTGTTGGAAAAGGTTCACACAGACATGCCTAAAAGTAACTACACAGGATTACAGTCAAGTGTGAGTGTAGTACCTGATCTCATAGGCAATCTCCTTCTCGTACTTCTTCTTGTTGCGGGCACGGCAGAAGCAGAAGAGGAGGAGTGCGAGGAGAATGAGAAACAGCAGAATGCAGATTACTACAGCTGCGATGACGCCGGCATTGTTAGGGGCTGCAAAGGGCCAGAGAGAGACTTTGAGATAAACAAGTTTAGGGTCTAAGACATTACCCATAAGCCCATTCACCACATCACTGTAATCAGATAATGAGGGAAAGACAAAGATGCATCACCTTGGATGCAGGCTGAAACTCAGACTTTGCTATTTTAATGTTTAAAGAGGAATAGGGAAGGCTTATGAAGACTCACGTTGTGTGATATTGACCTCCACCAAACACTCTCCTGTTCCAACACGGTTTTTAGCAATGCATTTGTATGTTCCTGAAGCGGTCTCTGTCGCGTTCCTCAGACTCATGGTGCCCCCGACTGGATCTGTGCACAGCAGCAGACAGATTCTTCATTTTAACTGAGGCATCTGACAGTTATGACAGTTTATCAAAATTGTAAAAAAATATAAATAAATAAAATTCTTTCAAGGTACATGAGTCAAAGGAACTTACCCAGCACTGCCAGGGGTGGCAGTAGTTTATTGCCTGTGGTTCTTTCCCAAATGTACTGCAGTGGTTGTGTGCCCTCCACAGAGCTACACCTCAACACCATATCTTTCCCCGCATGAGTCTGACCCTCTGCATAACATCTGGGTTTAGAAGGGCGCACTGTGGGAAAGGAAACAGGAAGAAGAGACGGTTAGAACAAAAGAAAATCAAAACTACGAAAAGGACCAGCAGTTTCATTGGAGCTATTCCACATGACAATTTGCGGACGTATCAAGCAGCACTATAAATCGCTCCAATCGCAAAGTGAAATTAATTGTCCATGAATAATATTTAAAGATTTTATTATTATTATTATTATTATTATTATTATTAAGAAGCACAAGTATATAAAAAATTAATGCACAAAAGATACTGGACAAATCAAAGGCATAAAAATAATCATTTATAGTTGCAAGATATCATGCTAAAGATTTATAAACATATGTACAAAATATATACTGTCTTATGCATATAGAACTACGCAGTATGAATGAGCTATTAGTATAGCAATGTTTTATGCATGAGACCACAAGTTTAGGCAAATATCTCAAAGAGGAAAATATCATAATTCCACTCTGACCAGCTAAAAGCTCAAATATCATCTCCCGTCTCACATATGGTGCATCACGGACATAAAGGATAAGTCCCTGAGGCCCTTCTTTCACACTCCACCCATATTCATTCTCGCTGCATCATAACTAATCACAGCATAGGAAGCCATGATCACGGTAATGGATACAGCTGCTGCTATTACAGGTGCTGTCAATCAACTTAATTAAAATCAGAACGCAGTGGGTGTCAACAATCTTTGAGATAAAAGAGCGAACAAAAGCAGAGGAAGAGGGTGGGAAAGTGGCTGGGTATTTGTAAGACAGACAGCATGTGTTTTCTAAAGATATATGCATTAAAAACAGCAGGGAAAGTGGGTGAAATGAAATCTATGTATATAAGGTGGGAGGGAGATGTGGAAAGATAGTGAAAGATTGGATGGGGGAGGGGTGGAGAACATAGGGAGCTCTGTGTAGAAACCAAAGCCTGTACAAACAGACCCCTTCCTCGCTTGGCAGGAGATGACATGAGAATTCAAAGGCAAACAAAACTCCAAATTAAAACCAGGAGGAGGAGACAGATTCAGAGCCCCACATAAGGATGGCAAAGAGACAGAACTAAAGGGAGACAGATTCCACACAAATAAAGAGACAGGGGGCAAGACAGACACAGGAATGTCAATAGTCGCTCTCTGTGATTCCTCCCAAACTTGGGCAGGGTGTTGGCATTTGAGTCTCTATCGACATCATCGTTTGATAATTGAAGCTGTAAAAACAGATCTCTGGGGCTGCTGGGACAGAGGCTTAGAGACCTGAGGATTAACAGCAATTTAATAGGATGAGGGGTCAGAGCACAGCAGCTTCCTCTGACAGAGAAATTAAATGTGTGGTGAATGATGGACAGGTGGGCGGGAGAAATCAAGGTGTAGACTGACTAATGCACGTGCTTAAACCAACGCACACATCTATACAAAAAATCCATATCTGTTTCTTTGAGAAAGACAGTTTGTTATTATTAGACATTACTTTATAAGTTGAAGTTGTTTTACAGCTTAGCAGTGTGACCAAGGCAAGCATGTCGGTATTCTGAGGTGATCACACTTGACTGGTCATAACAAATGCGAGAAGAAAAACAAGAATGAAAAAGTCAAACTGCCCGATGCAACTCCAGAGGTATAAAGGTGTGAAAAGAAAAAGGTCAAGCACTTTTATTTTCTGCTGTCTGAGAAAAGATTAATTTACTTTTTCCACCTTGAATGCTAGATAGTTCACCCTAAGTAAGAGCTTCTCTGTTCATTCAATCTGGGAAATAAATTATGATGAGACATGTTTAATTAAAAATTTTAAAACATTCCAATGAAAACCAATTTACAGTACAAATTACTGGGACAACAGTTCGCACATTGACTAACATCTTTGCTCAACTACCAACAAAGCAAAAAGCCAACAGAAGCACGCCAGACTTATAACGAACTTGCAATTTTGAAAAACAACCACTTAATTATTGTTTGCACTAGAAATTCAGGAAAAAGTATAATAAGTACTAAAATAAGTACTAAAATGACTAAAACTGAAAGAAATATTAAAAATTAAACAGAAATATTAAAAAATATATAAAAATGACAAAAGTACAACAATTCATCAAAAATATAAAATATAAAAGAAAAACTGAAAATATAAAAATAAAAGCTAATTCAAAATATGAACAAATACTATAATAGTATATAAATAACAATAACATTTTAGAGCAGATGTCTGCAAACCCTTTAAACTACATGCCTAAACTCTACCTAAACCTATATAAAGTTGCCTGTTGGAGAAAGAGCTGAAAGTTGCTTGCGCCTACTAAAAGTGCTGTGTTTCTCTGTTTCTGCATCCCTAGAGCAGAGCCGTGTCTCTCTGAGGTGGCAATGTACCACATATACAGCCCCTTTAAGTGAATGCCCTTGGACTGCTATCTCTGATGGAGACTCGTTTAGTAAGGAACACACGCACACAGCCAGACAGCATCTGCTCTGAATGCAGGTACAGAGTCCCCGTGGTCATCAGCGATAAGATGAGGGTGGACAATGAAGGGAACAGAGAACAGCTGCATTCATCAACTGCTGAGAGCACAACCAATCTGTGTCCTTCCATCTGTCTTTCTGTGGTCCACCTCCAACCACCGGGTCAGCTCTTTCCAAACAGTTCTTCACTTTAATAAATTAGTGGACTTTAAGTCCGATAAAGTCTTTTGCCTAACCAATCACTGGTTCATGAATTGACACTGATGTCAGTCAACCACTTCACCTTCACTTTTTTCACTTCGTCTTTCGATTCTGGATACCATAGTAAAAACTAAATGTAACTGAACACTCCATTAAATAAGGTAAATAATATAATAAAATATATAAAGTACATGTTCAAAAGTTTGGGGTCTTATGCTTACCAAGGCTGCATTTATTTGATCAAAAATACAGTAAAAACAATAATATTGTTAAGAAATTATTACAATTTAAAATAACCTTTCTATTTTTATATATTTTAAAATGTAAATTATTGTTTTTATGTAACTTTATTGTTTTAATTTACCAATAATTTTGACAATCCCATTCACAATAAATAAATAATCTTTCTGGCTACACTGAAAAATATTAGCACACCACACAGATCCCTTTAATACTGGGATTTCACCTCTATTAAAAACCTTTTCCCTGTTCTTTTTTTTCATCTTTTTCCTGACTCGTTTCTATTTTTAATCATGCATCTGCAATGCAAATACACATCTCGTTTGTTTGGTTATTGCGTTTCGGGAAGTGACGTCACGTCACTGTCATCATAATGTTTGGGGAGTTCTTTCTGATGGCTTTGTTTGGCATTCATGTTTGCCTAGGGTGTTTCTGTGTTGGCACTAGTCAACACAACAAGGAACAGGTGATATTTCACACACGATGCAGCACTGATATCACACTTGCTGTTAACAGCGATCAATGCATACCTTGAAAGGCATGTCAGAGGGCCTGTGAAATCAAACTTTATTGTGCATTTATGGTGCAGATCAATACATCATCACTCAGGACTTTCCCTTAAGTTTTATAGCTCACCTTCCAGAAGAAATAATAAGAATGGAGAGTGTTTCTCAAAATAACACCAAATAAGGCAAGCATTTTTGTATAAACGGGGTTAGAGATTGGTTGTCGAGATAACTTATTTAGCCAAAAGTGGCATTTACAAGCTAATATTTTTCACTCACCCATGACGGTCAGGAGGAACTTCCTGCTGCTGATACCAGGAACCTTCTTCACCTTGCACTGATAAGTGCCTGTGTCTGTGGCTTTCAGACCCATGATGTTCATGGAGGCATCACCGTTTTTAGGGTCAGGGGAGTTGAAGTGAACTCTTCCTTTAAGAGGTTCGTAATAGTGTTCAAAGGCCCTGTCACCTGAGTACACAATCACCTGTGGGAAGGAACGAGAGATGACAAAGCAAAAGAGAATCATGTTTTAGTAAGTGTAACTCATGTATTGGTGAAATGTTACTCAACATTTCAGTTTAACAACTGTGGGTGGGAAAAAGTGCAGTTTATATGCATCAGTGAAAGGTCAAACTAATGATCACATTCAGACCAAAACCTAATTTTTCTGCATTTGAATGTCAGTTGGACAAAGACAAACACAGTGCTCCCTCTTATCTTAAAAATGTCCTTCAGCACAAGTGAATTATTTGCCCTTAAAATGTACAACCTGAACAAAGTATTCTTGTTAGACTACTTTAACACCTTCTGTCACCAGAAGGTATATTTTAAATGAGCCAATCATCAATACATGCTTATCTCTCACAATGCTACATCGTAAGGGACAGTACAGGTCTGTTTCTGGCTAAAAGACATACGCGCTTAGTGCAAACACAGATAAAGACATGCACAGAGTGTTGTCACCCATGAAGGGAAAATATGGGATCCATTCAACAGACCCCATCCCCACCACATCATTTCCATGACGACGGAGAAGCGACGGCCTCCCATGGCATCTTGAAAAAAAATAATAATAAAGGGATAGGGACAACTGCCTGAAGCAACATACAGGCACTATGACGTACTTCAATTCAGAAAGTCAAAACAAAGTCTGCTCAAGGCAGAGAACAAAAGATACAAAATTGAAATCCGAGACAACAACTGATGGATAGAACCAAGTCCCTGCCCTACATTTATTTATTTTTCAATAATCTGTTATAACACATGACTCAACACAGAAGAAAAGATATGTTGCTATTTTCATTTCATCAGACTTTAACAATAGTTAGTCTTCACTATAGGGTCAGTGTGCAGTTTCACCGCTATCTACAAGTCAAGTCTTCAAGGACATAGTGTGACTTGTTCAAATCAAAGTGTGCATATGTTTACTTGTGCGTCTTGTTTACACTCGAGTGTATGCCTGTAGGTATGTGGACTTCCTCCGGGGCCACATCAGGCTTGTTTGAAATGCAAAGCCGCACTGAGTCACCTGTGAGATCAGTCTGCTTTACAGCCCAGGCAATTTCGGAAGGCCTGCCTGTTTACATCAGTGTCTACCCTCACTGCACAACCACAGATGCTGCTCTGACCCACAGTATCTGCTACTGGGAACTAGTACATGCCAACTACCACAGCTTTTACACAGGTAATCATATACTACTATAAAAGTACCCTATTTACCCCTGTATTTACAAATGTATTTGCAAATGACTTGGCGTTTCCCTGAAACAATTTTAAATATTAACGCATAGACACTAGTTAGTTAAAAGGTTATTTAGGCATTACTTTAGCAAACTTTATTTTATTCCAGATGGATCAAATAAAAGTCCTTACCCTTTTATATTGTATATTACTCAGAAATACACTAAAGTCCAAATGCTTTTTAAAGAATTTAATGCTTTTGTATTTAATTGATCAAAAGTTAAGTCATTTATCTTCTCACAAAATTTTTCCATTTCAAACAAAATGCTGTTCTTTTGAAATTTCCATTCAAGGAATTCCGAAAATAAAACCTACCACAGTTTCCACAAAAACATTAAGCAGCAGAACTGTTTTCAACATTGTTAATAAGAAATCTCTCAAATCAGCATTTTAGAATGATTTCTGAAGAATAATTTGACACTAAAGACTGGAGAAATGATGCTGAAAATTCAGCTTCACTGTAAAATAACTTATTGCGTTGTATTTTATGGTCAACGGATGTGTCCGTAAAATTACTGGATAATTTCCTGGCAGAAAATTACCAGTACGTTTTTTACTGACCTCAAACTTTTGAACGGCTGTGCATTACATAAAATTTTTCACATTACTCAAATTTAGTATCAAATGGCATTTCATGTTGATTTAAACTGTTCAAATTAACTAGACACCTTCTCTCGGACTCACAAATACAGATATGAAAACACAAATTTTCCAATCAATGCAAAAAACAGCAACTGGGATACTGCAAAACAAAAAAACTTATCTCCTTTTCTATATGTAAAAATGCAATGATAAAATCACTGCATGCTGACTTCTGTTTTCTAAATAATGCTTTTGTTTTGCATTTCCCACTGTCACTCTCAGACTCAATCACAGCAGGGCTATTGTGCAATTGCAGGTGCCGCTTAAGAGATTATGGAGCCACAGTGCATGCACAGTGAGTGTCACCCCCAATTCCCATCCATTCTTCAATATAATGCTAACACTAATGGCCAATGCAGTTTTGTATGGAATTCGTCAACTCGTCAACAGCGTCCCACAAACAAGAGAATCATTCACGCATCACTGTGTCCCCAAAGACCTTCACAATGAATACAATCACTGGAAATTGGGTTCTGCATTCAAGGTTGATTCACTGTTTGTTCTTGCGCTTAAAAAAAAAATAGGAACTGTTGTTGAATACAGGAGAAAATGTATTTTCCTTCAATAGGAAAATACAGTGTCAAGCCCTCTTTCATTTTTGATCAAAAGTGAGAGATGAAAAAGAAGGGATGTGTTCAAGATAGACCAAACACTGATAAGTCAGTTGGTCTTTGTTTATAACTCCTCTATCATTTATTGACTCATTTAGTAGCTTTTCAAGGCCAATCAGTGAAGGAAAGGGCAAAAATCCTGTAAAAACAGAAATATTGTGAAATATTATTACAACTTAGTATAACGTATTATTACAATTTAATATAACAGTTTCTATTAATATGTTAAATGGGTGCCCAGGAAATAATTATTGTTATTATCAATGTTGAAAACAGTTGCGCTGCTTAATATTTTTGATGAATATAACATTTATTTGAAATACAAATCTTTTGTAACATTATAAAATGTATTTACTGTCACTTTAGCTCAATGTAGGGGTGGGCAATAGTGTTGTCAAAAGACCCGGTATTTCGGTACCAAGTCGGTACTAAAAAGATGAAAACGTTACGGTACCAGGTTTTCTTAAGTACCGGTGGTACCGAGTACCCGGTCAACCCGGTTCTTGATGCGCTATCAGAAAGCTAGCCTCTTCCAGTGTTGCCAAGTCCGCAGTTTTCCCGCGGAATTGGGCTGCTTAACACTGTTGCCGCGGGTTGTTTTTCATGTCCGCGGGTTGAAAAACGACCCCATTAACGTGATATTTAGCCCCTGGAATGCGAATTTTACCAGGGGAACCCCGCCAAAACATGCGTATTTTATCCTCGGAATGCGATTTTTAACGGGGGACCCCCTCGAAACGCGATTGGGCGGGTTTTGTTGTGAAAACCTGGCAACCTCTTCTTAAAAGCAGTGGCGACCTCAAGAGGAGGAAACGCATCAAACTAACAAAACACCCCGATCAAGTTCAAGCAGGTAAGTTTCAATTACATTTTTAATATTTAGAGCTTCTGTTCTGTAAATTATTCCATA